TTTATTTTTTTATTTTATTTTAAGAATAGCTTAAAAAATAAAATGGAATAAAATAAAAATAAAAAATGGAATATTTATATAGAATTAAATTTTTATTTGCATTCCGTATATAAGACCAGAGTAGCCTAAGTAAAAATTAAAATTAAAAATGCAAAATACTGGTCATGAACTATATTACTAAAAAATTGATAAACATTTGCCTCTCAGAAGTTTACACCCACTTCTCTTTCTTTTCTACCAAAAAATGGGTTTTTCTCAAATATTTCTTTAATGGGTTTTTTGCATTTTGAAGTAAGTGGTCGTCCATCCCACCAACTCATAGAGTGAAAGATTACATGAGTTTACTGTCATTTGCGACTATTTATTCGAATAGATATTATCTAATATATCAATATCTTATTATAAACAATGCTGGACAAATGATTCACATGGTTTAAACATGTTCAACTGCAAAGAATTAGTTGTGCCAAAATTCTTCATCACCTCCAACCGTTATATAGAAATGAAAATTTCAATGGTAAGAACAGGAAACTGATATATAACCAAATAAATCGTCCGTCACTTCTATATGGTTGTTTAGCAAAGCTTCAAACACTACTATTCGCCAGCTAGAAATTGCACAAAGCCAGGTTCTGAGAAAACTTTTCAAAGTACCATGGTACATTAGGACGAATGACATCCTCAGGGACCTCAATATTGCTGCCATCAAAAAATACATAACGAACACCGCGTTATTAAATCTCAAAATGGTTACAGGCTCCTCGGGGAGGTATACAGATCTGAGGTCAATTATTGCTTAATCTGATGAAGTGACAAACAATAATCCAGTCAAGGCGTAAAGAGAAGTTTTGAAAATACCTTGAGTTAAGAAAAAGTAAAAGTGCTCAAGTGCACTGGCTCAAATAGAAATAAATAAATAATATTATATTTTGTTATAAATAAAATATATAAAATATATTTTATCTGCCGTCCCATCCATTATTTTGCAGACATTTTATACATAATTAACCTTTAGCGTAAAAGGTACAGAGTAACCGCTACTGCTCTATGTTCCCATTTCCTAAAAGACAATTAATATTAACTGAAGAGCGTCTAAGCAGAGAGAATATAAACAATCACAATATTTACAATATTTTTTCTCTATTAAAGCTTCTAAAAATTAGAAAAAATATAAACCTTTATTAATATCTATACAAAAAATGACAAATAAAATATTGAAATGAAAGTGCCGAAGAAGACACATAACATAAGGACACAGCTAAAGCGAAGCGGAAATGTAAGCAAACAAAAGGAACGAAAACATGAGTGAGCGCGAAGAGACGAATCGCACGACCATAAATAAGACTGTGACATTTGTTGTTTTGATTTCGATTTGATTTGTTTTTTGGCGCAGTTTGTTCTTCTTCGTCGTAAGTATAAACAGCTAGCTGTAGGCTTATGATAGTTTATAAAAACACTAACGACGATCAATGTGCTTTTTAAAAATCAATTAAAAACATTGAACGGAAATAATTAAAAATTTTAATTAGTAAAAGAAACAAACATACAAATTAAAAAAAATTACGCGATAAAATTAATGATTAAGTAAAGTGCGAATTTTTGTATAAAATTTTTTTTAAATAATTTTATTTGAAAATTGTAATACGGCCGAATAAAAGATAAAGCGGTTTTACGTGAAAATTGAAAAATTGTGTAAAAAAAAAAATGTGTTCACATAACAAATAATAGTAAAAAAACAATAATCATATATTAATAAAAAAAAAAAAACTTGAAAAGTTGAAAGAATTAAAAAAAAGTGAACAGTTCCAAATTAAAAAAAAAAAACCAAACCAACTAAGCAAAATGCGTCCATTCGGTAACGATATTACCAACATTGCCAATAACAATGGCAACAGCAACAACAACAACAACAACAATAATAATAATAACAACAACAATGGTGGAGGTAATGGCAATAATGTTGACAATAATGGCAGTAATGAGACGAGCGAAGATGATCCACGGGTGCCACCACATATAGCACGCATAGGTGGCATTGTTACATGTTCACCGATTGCGGGTCGTGGTGTTATACGTGTGGTGGGACGTTGTGAAGATGCAAAAGAGAATAATATGCTTGGTAAGTGGAAAATATTAAATATATTGTTTAAACAAATTACTTAAACGATATACAAAAGTCTCTTCCAATATGTGTTGCAGACATGCCACACATGCCTCACACATATGTGGAAGAGGCAGGTGAGTCATAACTCTGAGAATTAACTCACAATTGCAATTCACTTACCCAGTTAATCTTTCTTACAATCACTTGGTGTAGTGCTTAAGACACTTGTTTTGGTTTTTATTAAAAACCACTTTTTATTTATAGTCAAATATGGCTAAATCACAGTTACAATTACTAGTGCTGAACTTTTAGTTCAGGGTTAACGCGCTTTGAAAACTCTAGACTCTAACAAGTTTCAATCGTTATAACTTTTAATTTATGGTTTTCCATATTTTGTTTTATTTTATTTATTTCTACAAATACAATAGATATTTTAAGCGTATTATTAATAAGTATATATATATTTATATATATATAATAATAATTGCTTTTGTTTAAGATTTTAAATGCCTAAAAGTTAAAGAATTCATTGGTTAAATATTTCAATTATTTCCTGGTTTAGAAGAAGTATGGGAACGTGAGTAGCTAAGAATTGGAAAATAATTATTATTCACACGCTGATTTTTTGAGTGCTTTGTCATTTTAAAAAATCAAATTAATAATATAATTTAAAAACAAAAATAAAAAATTAAAAACATTTGTATTTAAAAATATTATGTCGAATAACAAAAAATCATCTTCAAATCGGAAAGAGTGTAGAAGTTCTTAAATCCAAAGTTGTTAAAAAAATTTTTTATATATTAAAAATTTGAAATAATAATAATATTTTATTTTGATTTTTAAAGTCACGTATGAGGAAAGATACTACCTTCTTACAAACCTCAAGTCCACTTCTGGACTCTCAGAAAGATATGCTGATTTAAGGTCCGACATCAACTAAAAAACAAATAAATTATATGATTTCTTAGCCTAGTTAAAGCCTAGTGTGGGGTAGAGATAAGCCCCCCAAGTCATTATAGAGTAAAAGTGCGTAATAGCACTAACTCAAGAACAAGAATCAAGAATATGCTTTTAAATTTGATATTTGATAACATCTGCGTTCCAATAGGAAAGAGTGAAGAAGTTCTTAAAACCAAAGTTGTTAATTAAAAATTTTTTTTAATATATTAAAATTTAAAATAGTAGTTTGAATTAAATTTAAATTTTAAAATCACGTATGAGAAAAGATAATACCTTCTTACTATTAAATTTGATATTTGACAATAAAAATCAATTCAATTTTTTTATAAGATTTGTTCAAAAAATAACCCAAAATATTAATAAAATAACAGAATAGTATTGTGATTTAACAATTTAAAATAAAAATATAATTAATTAATTCAATTATTCTACAGCTGATTATGATTTCATACTAATATAAACACAGCAAGTAAATTTTTTAATAAAACTTTCACAGTGCACATTTGCATAAAAGTCATGTACGGTTTTGGGTCAGTTGGTTAAGGTGTGCTGACTCTGAGCTTCAAATTTGGCAGGATACGAGTTCGATTCCTGGTACTTGCAGTCTCAAAAAATTATTTACGAATAATTAAATACAAGAAAAAATTTCCAAGATCACTGATGATGGATATTTGGCAATACTCGAAACAGTTGTATAGTCAGCCGAAAATTCGTTTAAATAAAATAATACAAAAAATGTTTGTTGTTGCAATTTTCTACTCTACGAAAAAAAACCTCTTTATAAAATAACTTTAAAAAAATTAAAATAATTAATAATATTGTCAAGTTACCTATTTTCAAATATAAAAGAGTCCAAGAGTTTTTATATGCAAAATGTTGGAATAAAAATAATAATTGTAATATAATAATTATTTTTAAAGTTCCATATGATGAAAGAAATTATTTTCTGATTGAAAATATAAATGATATAATATATATGATATAATATGGGTATAAATGACTGGAAAATTTGATTTTTGATAATTTTTATTTTTTATTTACTTGTATGCAAAATTCAAGTTTTCAATTTTTTTTAATTGATTACATGAGAACTACTTTTAGTACATTTAACAAATTCATGGTTTATAGTTGAACCCATTTTAATTCTTTTTAATAATTTTGAATAGATTTTATACATACAAGGGGGCCGCACAGTGTAGCAGAATTAAAATTAACAGATCAAAATTCGGTATTTTTTGAACCATTAGAGATATTCAAATCAAATTTTTCTTCAAATATAGTTCTTTAGATGGACTGAGGTGAGATAAGAGACCGAATTCTGTTTTTCTGATCGTCTATTTTTAATTCTGTGTGGCAATTTAGGGTTTAAAATCTATCCTAATTTGAATTATTTTATTTTTATATGTATTTATATATGTATTTATGTATATGTATGTATATAATTTATTTATATTATATTTTTATATTTTATTAATTTTTTTTTAAGCTTTGAATTCATGTTTAATAACCTCTTCTCTATATATATTATACATACATTACTCTGTATATACTACTGATTGTGTACTATACTGTACTTTTATAAGTAATACACATAGTAGTTAAATGACTAATAAATTATTTGAAAGTTCTCAACAAGTTTTGGTTTTTTTTTATATTATTTACAATTATTGTAATAATTAAGATTATGCATTTCTACGAAATGGATCTCGTGTTTCTTGGCGGTGCAATAAAAGTATTTAGTTGCTTCAGTGAGAACTTAGGTATAATACAATAATTTTTAAATAAAACGTAAAGAACATGAAAATAAAATAATACACAATACTAAATATATATATATTTTTTTTAAAATAAATAAAAATTTTAACAATAACTTAGTAAACGTCACTTTTCAATTATTAAAGCTTTTAAATAATCAAACTTAAGCTTATAGTCATATTAAATAGATCAAAAGTCATATTAAATATACGGACTCTTAGAAATAAATGCTCAGCAACTTAAAATGATTGTAAAAAATTGTAATGATTTAGACCAACACTTTATAGACGATTTTAGTGACTCATAATTACATAAGATGTTAATTACCAAAACAATAACAAAAACAAAAACCCAAAGATATATATTATATATATTTGGTATATTAAAAAACGTTCGTTAATTTACCACTTCAGTTTTATTAAGTTTGACTAGAATGCAAGCAAAGTGCAATTGCACAATTGCAAGTCCATAATGCAACAGGCATTCACCGCATCGCATAGGCGAGCGAGTCCATCATTATCCGCAAATTAGAGAAGCTTCACGAATTTGTTGTGAAAACTCTTCGTGAAGGAGGTTACCTAATTATTTCATGTGCATTTCACTTGAAATGACCAATGCAGCAATACATTGCATGCAATTCGACAATAAAATAGAAAATTAAAAAATAAATAAATTTTACGTAATTTATTTAATTTTTATGAACTCAAAACTCAAAACTGCACTTCGGCAAAATTAGTGGAACAAATGTACGCTTCCAGTGAAATGTGCAGCGTTCCTCAATGTTGCAACACAGACCGGCACTCAAGCGGATCACGCCACTTAACCAACAGAACGAAAGTTGGAAAAAAATAATATTAATTTGAATTAATATTAAGAAAATTAACAAAATAATTCAAATAAAATAACAATAATAAAATAATAATACCATTAATTATTAATAGGAATATAAAAACATTTTCAATTATGAAATATGAATCAATAAGGAATATAGCAAATTATATAAAATTATCAAAAAAAATTAAATTTATAAAATAATAAAAATTATTATTATTTTACAAAATTGTAAAATTATCATATACAACTATTTTTATCATAAAAATATTTTAAATATGTAATTAATTTACTATAATTAATTAATTCATTATTTATTACAATTTATTTAATTTATTATGGCATATAATAATAATTTCAAAAATTCATTTTAAAATAAATAATTTAAATACATATATGAGAAACGTATATAAAATAAAAATAAAATAGAATTAACTACAATAATATATTATATAAATATGAATATAATATATAATATATAATAAAATTGTGTTAATAATAATATTATACTATATTATGAATATTATAATATAATAATTATATATATTATATTATTATTAATAAATATTATAATATAATGTATTATACTATTTTATTATTAATAAAATATTCGGATTATTAATGTAATATTTATATAAATCTAAAATATATAACTCTAAATATGTTATATATAGGCATACTATGCAAGTCTTTCATTAATACCTAAAAATATAATATACAATATTATCGAACTTTTATTATAATAATATTGTGATAATAATAATAATATGTTATATTATTATTATATATATAATCAAAATATAAAATATTATAAAAATATTATTATATATTAAATATTGTTATAATAAAATTGTGTTAGTAATAATATTATACTATATTATGAATATTATAATATAATAATTATATATATTATATTATTATTAATAAATATTATAATATAATGTATTATACTATTTTATTATTAATAAAATATTCAGATTATTAATGTAATATTTATATAAATCCAAAAAATATAACTCTAAATATATATGTGAAAATATAAGAAATATACGAAATAATATAAATATACGCTTATATGTATATATGAATGTATAAATACAAAACTAACAAAGTGTAGATATTATGAAAATACAAACTATATAACATATATATTCATATATCAGATATATAAATTTTAAATGAACGCATATATATTTAAAAATAAAAATAAAAAATTGAGAAAACTATATTAAAAATCTCACGTATATTCAATAATTATAATTGTTAATACAAAAAATAATAAATAAAAATATTAAAAATAATTTTACTTTAATGAAAATAAATTTTTGTTGTTGAACTTCCTTACTAAATTTTATAATAATATAAATCAATAAATATAAATTAAGACTATGAGAAATTTTTGTTATATTTAAAATGTTTTACTTAAAATTTATATTAAGAAATTTAAAAATTGATACATAAATTTACGAATTACTTAATTTATACTATAAAAATAAAAATATACTATAATTTCTTATTATCTTTATTGTTTTAAAAATAATGTTAATCTTTATATTGATTTATTTGTATTGATTTGTATATAAAGAAAAATTATTTCTCTTCTTGGTGTGAGAAATATTAGTCCATATTTAATTTGTTTTTATATATAAAATTTTTTTTAAATTAATTTCTTTTATGTTATTATTTTTTAGAAGTATTTGATAATATAATTTACTATTCTGTTATCATTATTTAACATTTCTTTATAAATATAATGCTTTGTTAATTCTGTTGCCTTACATTTTATTTTTTTATTTTATTTTATTTGATTTTATTTTATTTCATTTAATTTTATTTGATTTTATAAGATTTCATTTGATTTTATTTTACTATTCTATTATCATAATTTAATATTTCTTTATAAATATTAGGTTTTATAATTATTCATGTCTTTTATTTTAATTTTAGTTTATTTTATTTTATATTAATTTATTTGATTTAATTTGGTTTTATTTTATTTTATTAGATTTAATTTAATTTTATTTAATTCGTTCTAATTTGTTTTTATTTAATTTTAATTGATTTAATTTGATTTTATTTTTTAGTGCGTTTTTGATTATATTTTGTCTGCTTTTATTTTATTTCATTTTATTTTATTTTATTTTATTTTATTTTATTTTATTTTATTTAATTTTATTTTATTTGATTCGATCTACTCTGCTTTTATTTTATTTTATTTTATTTTATTTTATTTTATTTTTCAATATATTTTTGATTTTATTTTATTTTATGTTAATTTATTTGATTTAATTTGGTTTTATTTTATTTTATTAGATTTTATTTGATTTTATTTGATTTTATTTTATTTTATTTAATTCGTTCTAATTTGTTTTTATTTAATTTTAATTGATATAAATTGATTTTATTTTTTAGTGTATTTTTGATTATATTTTGTCTTATTTTATTTTATTTGATTTTTATTTGATCTACTCTGCTTTTATTTTATTTTATTTGATTCGATCTACTCTGCTTTTATTTTATTTTATTTTATTTTTCAATATATTTTTGATTTTATTTTATTTTATATGAAATGAAACAAAATTAAAAACGGTTTTGAATGTTTTTTAGTATTATATTATTTCGAAATCAAAAAATATGAGTTAAATTATTTTAATTGCAGATATAATTTTGCCAATAATTATCTATAGTTGGCAATGTTTTTAAATGTTTTCTTGTTCTTATAACACAGATTTTCATAATTGATTAATTAATTAATTTGTTGTCAATTTTGTTTCCATTCGCTTTTTATTTGTTAAGTTGTCATTAATTTTTTAATTTTTTGTTTTTTATCAATCACTTGTTATGATAACATTATTATTATTATTATTGTTTTTCTTTTATATATATATTAAATATATAAGAATATATTATATGTATTATACATAATATTATTTTTGCAGTTAGTTTTGTTAATAGTTTTTAAACTTGCACTTTAATTTAAAAACAGTATAACTCTTTATCAGTTCAAGAAAATTATTAATCTCGTTTAAAAATTATTTATTTATTTACGTCAGCTCTATCAATAACTTCTCTGCTTTAACACTCCGCGTTCTCTTCTTGCAGTCCAAGTTTCTTAAAAAGCAGTATACAAAACACTATAGTGCTTTTATGAACCCCTTTTTTACTAATATAATCAATTGTTATAAAATTCTGTCTTACAAACATAGACAAGTAAACTTGGAAATTCGACACCCATTTTTATATAATTATTATTTAATGTAAAAACTAGAAATTTGTTAGGTTGCTTTCATTATAGACATGATTTCAATATAATAAGTATATTTTTAATATAACATAAAACATAAAAAATGTATATTTATAATATAAATAACACATTATATATATATATATATATATATGATTAAATTTTATGATATACATTATAATAAAATAACATAGTTTTTTATAATTAAAAACTAATATAAAATAATATACCTATAGACTAATATTAAAATTAGTTTGAATATTTTAATAGTTTATTATTATTTATTATATTTAATTCGATTATATTAATTCGATTAATACAATAATTTTAAGTAATTTTAAGTAATTTTAATAATACATAATAATATAATTATTGATATATAATATTTTATTTTAATATATAACTTTAAGTTTCATTTAACTTATAAGAGATAGATATAAATATTATTATATTTTATATAATATTTATTATAATAATATTATTATTTTTATATTTTATTATTTAATAACTTTTGCAGTTTATTACATATTCTTTGTACAATTTTTCTGACTTTAATTAATGGCATTCCTAAGCAATTAATAGATAAAACATAAAATATTAAATTGTGCGTGTTTTTCTAAATAATTATACAATAATACATATATGTAATATATATCTATATATATTATTGAACACTTTCAATTTTTTAACGCTTAATTCCAACTTTATACGTTAATAATTATACATTATACCCGTATGTACTATTCACATAACATATTCTAATACATTAGAGACCGTGGGATTCGTCTTACATTAAAACGATTTGTTTGAAGCTTGAGTTGGATAGTCCGCTTTTCACAAAAAAATCTGTTATATATGTAAATTTTCCATAAATACATAAATACAGCCTATCTGTTTCCAGATCATAGTTCAAGTGATACTGAGTTTTATAATTATTGAAAAAATGAAAATGAAAAACCAGTTACAGAATAAGGTTCTATTATATTATCGGAAAGCATTACCGAATACGCAAAAGTTTAGATTTTAGTCTACTTATACCATATGTATACCATATTATAACCTTATATATCAATGAAGCACACATAACTTTACTACGTAATAAACTCATTTTCGACATAAATTTAAGATAGATGAAGAGATATACACATTGGAACAAGTGAGGAGATATATCCCAGTCTTGACATTATAATTTATAGATAATAAAAAGTAAAAATATTGAGAAAAAATGTTTCCATTAAATTTTCTTAGTA